CCAATTACCGAATAGTGTTCTGGTTTGGATTACACCGCATCTCTTTTTTAAATTTGATCATCTCTTTGTCCTTTCAATTTCAATTCTTAAATTCATCAATCAATCCTTTCATTTATGTGATAGACCTGTATTTAAAATGAACATTTACCACAAATTAAAGGTATCTTATATTATTAGATATATTATTATAAAACATGCTTTAGTTAAGGAGTTATTGATACTTTAAGTGCAAAAATGATGACATAAAACCTTGATACAAATGCACTTTTAAGTACTAATCAATAATCTTGTTGAATATTTTTTTAAGTAAAATTTATTAGTATTTTTCTTATTTTTAAAAGCTCAATAATTTTTTTCCATATTAAAAAGGCCAAATTATTTAATGTATCTCAACTAATATGTGAGACATTGTGTAAATCATGTGAGTGCTTATCCTTTCTTTCTTTTTCTTTTTCTGTGGTGCTTATGTTTTACAAAATAAAATCATTATAAATTTATAAAAAAAATAAAACTATATAATATTTAGATTTAATTACTTTCATACCAAAAAAAGTACTAAAAACAAACATGAATAAAACAATTAATTACTGGTTTATTTTAGTGTTGTAATCATTTTCATGTGCATTTTTTTTTCTTTGTTTCTTTTTGTGTTCACTCTCTATTCTCTTTCCTCTCCTCCCTTTGGTTTAAATTGGCTTAAATTAATTCTTTATTTACGTGGTTCATTTTCAAAACATATTTCTTACATAAAAAAGTTACAAAGGTCAACTTTTATTATAAAATTATGAATAATGCATACACAAATATAACATTAACTTGTATTTTATAAAATCAAAAAGGTTTTTAATCAATTTCTCTAAAACAATTCTTAAAATTACCAAACCCTCACTCAATAATGTTTTTCAATGAAAAATGTCAAAAATTAAATAGCTTCTTTTCATTTCTATTGAATAGTTTATAAACTCACTTAAGTAATATCGAGCTCCGTAAAAATAAGAAATGATTCATTTTTTAATATTGTAACTGACATCACCAAGATAATATTTACTTATAAATAAAAATAAAATATATTATTAAGTTTATCTAATTTAGAAATTTTAGATGATTATTGCATATAATAAATATTTTATTTTATTTCATACTTTTTAAAATTTTTAAATCATTATGTCTTAATATTGTATGACCTAAAACATGTGAATCATGTGCACTTCTTTCTCAGCTAACTAAAACATATGTAAATTTCAAATCAAAAGTTATAACAGCTCAAAAATTTTGTGTTATTCTCTCTTTTCAACCTTAGAACTTTCCTTCAATTTCAACATGAACATTTGTAGTAATACGGGTGCCATTAATTGCTTCCATATAATTTTATATAAACATGAAACAATAATGATAAACTTTGCCATTAATTGCTTCCATATAATTTTATATAAATATGAAACAATAATGATAAACTTTTTCTTTTTTATGTAATTAATTAATATATAAAAATATTAGTATTGCTTTCTTACCTTAAAATAAAAATAAAATCTTCAATTATTCATTATCTTTGAAGGAACCAAATCATCTAGGTCTTTTAAGGTGTTTTTACAATTTAATAATTGTTTTTAATACAATTCTACAATAACAATAGATAACTTTAACATACTACTAATAAATACCATCAATGAAACAAAATCTAAGATTTCAGTCCATAATTTTAGTAATACAATTCACTTGTTGTCTAAAAGATATATCTTGAGTTAATTATAATAGGTTATGACTTATAAAGAAGTCATACAAATAAGGAAATTCATATGAATTTTTTCAATATAATATTTATATGAATTTGTTCAATATAATATTTATCATCTTGATTAAAATTTTATCTATATAGAATACTTTTTTATTAGTTGTATTTATATATATATAGTTTTTTTGCTATATAAATTTTTTTCTTTTTTTTTCAATAATTATATTTAGAATAGATATAGAGTTTTAATAAATGTTGCATGAATGGACTTATTATCCATAACAAGCAAGTGAAATTTTCTAAAAAAACAAACAAGTAATTTCAAATCTATAAAATTTAGAGCTTCTAGAATTGAAAATCTCAAAAAAATACAAATTTATAAAATATAATTTCATAATTCCTTTAATGTTCAGGAAACGAAGTAGAGATGTTGGCATATATAGCATAACAAGTAATTAAGTAGGCAAATAATATTTCTGCATCAATAAATTCAAAGCTACTAAGGTTTCAAAATAAAGTATTCAAGATGAAGTACCTGAAGCAATCGCTGGCCACCTAGATTTGAATGGGAAATACAACCCTATAACAAAAAAAAATTAACTCATAAGATTATTATAGAAAATGAAAATTAGTTTCCATAAACAAAACAAGATCTAACTTCTTTTCCTACGTAATTACTCACCAAAACATTCATATGCAGATCATCCAAAATGGATTGCCAGTACTCATTCGTCTCACATAGTTTTAACCACTTCGTACAAATCCAACAAGTAAACTGATACAAACACAAAGCATTTCACCATTATAGAGATTGACTTTCTTGAACGATTAAAAATGAAAACCAACAAACTTTACGTTGTGGGAGCCTAATAAATATGATTCACCCGAGTTAGATATTGCATGTTGAATTGAAAAGGATCCTGCTGGGATTTCTTTCAAGCATTTGGGTGAACTTTGAGAGTTCATTGTCAAGGCCAACAATGGCCTGTATTGATTTATATTCATAAAAGAAGAAGAAGAAGAAGAAGCAATCGAGAGAGAGAGAGAGAGAGGGAGAGAAGGAAACGAATTCTATTATTTCATGCGTGTATGATTTTCCAAAGCTTGTTAGAGTCTTAGATATAAGCAAATCCCTTCTCTAAACAACCTCCTAAGCTTAAGGAAATAGCAACACGTGGACACTTTTACAAAAGAAAGATTTAAAGAAACTGAAATAAAGAAAGGCATGTGGAATAAAAGTGAAACGATGCATAATTAAATGGTTCTTCTTTTTTAGTATCCCTTTCCAGGGGAAAAAAAGATGTGTGACACTCACCCGCCCACCTTCCCCGCAACCACCCGCTTGTCCTCGAATGTAAATTCTAGAATCCCTTAATTTCCATATTTGCCCGTTTGCCCGCATCTCCTCCCCCATCCATCTTAGGTGTCATGGAACGGAGCCAATAAAGATGCATTAGAAGTGTTAGGATTTGTTATTAATAGAAAATATATTGTGCAATCTATTTTAGAAAGTAAAGTTATTATTATCAAAAGTCTACAATGATAGGGATATAGTCAAGTTATATCATCGTTGACAAAAAAGATGCAACCCATGTGTTGCTACCATTAGTGCACAAATCATGTCATAATTTATGGATCTTGTCTTACCATTGATGTCTATAACTAGAGGTATTGTTTAAGAGCAAAATGAGAGAGATATTGTATTGTTTAAGAGCAAAATGAGAGAGATATTATAGCCAAAGATATGAGAAATATAAGAGAGAGTAGGCTGCCATTGCAGCACTGAGAAGAGAGAAATAAAGTGAGGTTGAAAGTTGCTGAAGAGTAGATGATTCCTCCTCCTCTATTGTTTTATATCTTTTACTCTTTCTATATAAGAAATGGCTTCTCCAGTAAATGTAAGCGATTTGCCGAATCATGTTAAATATTGTGTCAGTATGCTTGGTCTCTTATGAGCAAATATCAGTACATCACCGGTCATATTCCTCAACAATTGGTATCAAAGCACACGGTTAAAGTGGTGTTTGATTTCGTTCAAAAATTAAAGTTGTCAAAATTGTGTTTTGACTATACCACTGTATAGAGAAGGAAGAGACGAAGCCACTGG